GAACATCCGTTGTTCGACCTGTTAGTCAAATACGTTTTCTTAAAATATACTTTTTCACTTTTTTGGTCTTTTCTAAAATGTTGTTTGTGATGTACTTAGACCCCTCTTCCAAGAAATTTGTTTTTCATTCACACGTATAAAAATTGCGGTTTTTATCCAACGCAATCATAGGCTTGAACGTTGTTTTCAATTTAGACTTGTTTATATAATATATATAATATATATTTTTAATGTTTCTATTTCGACTTAGTACATCGTAACTGTTAAGGCTATTCTCGTACCATCCTAAGACACCCCTGGGGCCGTGTCAACGAAAGTGTCATAAGATTTGTCTTAAGATATATCTTAGGACAAATTATAGGACTGTCTTATGATATATCTCAGACTGTATATCGAAGGTATCATAAGATAATCTTAACGAAGATGTCATATCGTAGTCCTAAGTGCTGTTTAGATTTTTTAGTTCAAAGGGGAATCTCGTGTAATCTTGGTATAAAAACTCAGGACATAAATTATCTATTTTGTATTGCTGTACCGTAACCCTACAGAATGAGTAAGAAAAGAAGTCCAAATTTAACAGACACAGACACATCACAGTGCATGATGGCGACAGCCATGTTTGTTTATATGCTAGGACATCATAAAATTATCCTAAAAGTTAAAATTGTCATGGATCTACAATCTGTCGATACCTGTATCTTGGCATTGCTCATGGTCATGTTTTTCTCTGACTGTTTATGACGTCTTTACACTAAATCCATTGGATGTGTACTGATTGATAATTTAGTCTTAGATGCATGATTTTTTTATTAGTTGTTAGTAGCTGCGAGTACTCTCAGATCAGTCTTTACTGTCTTTTTGTTGTTGGGATATACAAGTACCCTGCCACGTCCACTCTGTGTTTTTAAAAGAAGTTGTGGTATGATTGCTAATGAGACAACTCTCCACAAGAGACCAAATGACACAGAAATTAACAACTATAGGTCACCGTACGGCCTTCAACAATGAGCAAAGCCCATGCCACATAGTCAGCTATAAAAGGCCCCGAAATGACAAATGTAAAACAATTCAAACGAGAAAACTAACGACCTAATTTATGTACAAAAAAATGAACGAAAAACAAATATGTAACACATCAACAAACAACAACCACTGATTACAGGCTCCTGACTTTGGTCAGGCACATACATACAGAATGTGGCGGGGTTAAACATGTTAGCGGGATCCAAACCCTCCCCCTAACCTGGGACATCGGTGTAACAGTACAACATAAGAACGCACTATAAAAATAAGTTGAAAAAGGCTGAACTTATCAGATGGATACAAACAGAAATACTATCCTAAGACAACTTGTTAATGTAGTAGTCCTTAAGTTGGGATCAAAATTAGAACATATCCTAAGATAAGATCTTTTCGAAACAAGACTAAGAGCAAAATTCTCCTAAGATTATCTTAGGACATATCTTAGTCCTAAGACACCTTCGATGACACGGTCCCTGTCTATATATCCTATCTAAGTTTATGATCTTATTTACGGAGACTTCTGTTAATCTGACTTAGGACTAAGACGTGTCCTAAGACCATCCTAAGACACGGTCTACTCCAGGGACAAATTCATTGACACGGTCCCAGGTAAATATATAGTATCAAAATAGTTTTATCTAAAAGAGACTTTAGATAGTAACTTTAACAGTTTTTTGATTGCATAATACAACATATTCCTCTTAAATCAGTCATCGTAACATCAGTCAAAGCACTATACACAGATACTTTCTTAATAATAAGAGACTTTTCACTCTAACTTTAAAACTCAGTGATAGAGATCATAAAACCTAAAAGAAAGCACTGTAGTCTATACACTAGAGTAAAACCAAAACTACCGTTGTTCTGAATTAAGGCTTGTAAGTAATGGCTATGGATGTACTCATGTACACTGGATGACTTATATGTGTGGTCATTAAAAATTACGGACTTACCTCATTTATATAAAAATAAGAGGATGTGGTATGATTGCAAATGAGACAACTATATATCCACCCGCAAAGTTCAAAAGAAGTGGATATACATGTGAGCACTATGTAGTTTCAAACCTACGTACGTGACCTACAGTTTTATATGAGTATGAAATTAATTAGTTACCTAGGGAAATACTCTTACAATAAAAATCTTATTCACGATGAAGCAATAAAATATCTAAATTTTTTCATATATGTTACCTGTAAAATGGTGCAAATGTGGTTTTTATTTTTTGGCGCAAATGAAATATAAACTAGTGGCGCGAAAGAAAGTTTGAATTTTGTAAAAATTGGCGCAAATGCAGTGCGCCCGATTCAATACGACTTTAATCTTGCTCGTGATAATATATTGAAATAAACTGCTTCGCTGAGCGCAGCTGGATACGCCCGCAGAGGTCCAACCCTGAACAGTTTGGGCAAAAATGGACACAATATTCAAGCTTGATACAGGTCTGAATTTGGATTGTAATTAAATATTTGATATATTATAGGTTTCTGAATAAATGTAGTCAGAGAACTTGAAATTGGTTACATGAAAGATTTCTTGCTGTTGTGCAATACACATTGTTGTAGCGTAATACGTAGTAAATCTGTTGTCAGACTATAAACAAATAAAATCTTATAACTCGGAAGCATAAAATAGAAAATTTATAAAAATCAAAAGGAAGCTTACAAAAATAGATATAAACAATTTACCAAAGTTTCATTAAAAATGCTGAAAGCATTTTTGAGTTATTGTCCGAAAACTGGAAAATCCCCCTTTTTGTAATGAATAAAACCCCATAAATTGGAAACGTATATTCTGAAATTTATAAAAATCAAAAGGGAGCTCATGTCGATAGAAATAACCAATTCACAAAAGTTTCTTGCAAATTGGTGAATTTTTTTTTGAGTTATTGTCCAAAAACTGGAAAATCCCCCCTTTTTAATGAATAAAACCCAAAACTCGGACGATAAATTCGAAATTTATAAAAAACAAAACAAAAGGGAGCTCACGTCAATAGGTATGAACAATTCACAAAAGTTTCATGCAAATTAGTGAAATTGTTTTTGAGTTATTGTCCGAAAACTGGAAAATCCTCCCTTTTTTAATGAATAAAACCCCAAAACTCGGAAATGATAAATGTGAAATTTATAGAAAACGAAAGGGAGCTCACGTCGACAGATATAAACAATTCACCAAAGTTTCATGTATATTGGTTAAAGCGTTTTTGAATTAATGTCCGACATGTTAACGACGGACGGACGGACAGACGGACAGACGGTCAACGGTACACCATAATACGTCCCGTAAACGGGCGTATAAAAAGTGAACTATAAATTGTTTTACTGCCTGTTTATTATTTTACAGATTTGAGTAGTTTGACGTTAGGATATTCGCTATTCATTTTTAAAGTAACAGGCTTTTTCGAAGACTGTTATATATTGATAGTATAAAAATAAAGAAATTAAAAAAGCAGAAAATAATGAAGGGTCCGTGTGCTTGTTTTTGAGATATAAACCATTGAAAATTTGGCGGGAAATAATTTTCTGTAGATTTTTCTTAAATTTAACCGGTACCTTTTTTCTTTCAAAAACAATGAAATATAAAAAGGAGTTTAAAAGATTTTCAAATATGACAATCTAAATTATATGTAATCAAAAGTGTGGAAGGAAAGGTAGGGGTGAGAGGGTAAATTTTTTTAATAGCACTGCATGAATAAAACCTAAGGATTCCGAATGCTTGGCGCGACGTCAAGCGTTCGAATTTCATCAAAACGTCACTTTCTGCGGGACGTCATGCGTATTATTTTCCGTAATAAGAACGATATTTTCTATAATTTACAATTTGATTTTATGAATTAATGTGGCTTAAATTACGCAAAAGGCAGTTAATGTATAACAGCACTATGAGAAAAATAACAATATAAGAACCTCTCGATTTCCACATAAAAGTAAAATAAAAAAATATCCCACTTTGAGCAACTTATCCGTAATTTTAAGCATGGCTTGAAATATTAACTAGTCATTCTCGTGGGGATTTATTCTCCCCTTATTTGAACTAATCACAGCATCAGATTGAATCCAATCAATTTATGACGAAGAATATATCTACATACATGTCAAAAAATTGAAATTAATTAAAGTTGTATCTGAGACAATATATTTTCGCTGGAAGATTTATTTCAACAGAATATTCGTTTTATGCGGTTTTGTCACGATTTCAGTTCTTACTATGTTCGATTGTTAATTTCAACCGAACACCCACGATAACAAGCAAGTCCGACTTGATTTATTTTCAATAGACTTTCTGCCAAGTAAAGTTTTAAAACTGCATTTCAGTCTGAAGATGAAATTAAATCTCTCCAAAAAAAAAGTTGAGAATATTACGCTGCATAAAACTTTGCAGTTTAACAGTGAAAAGAAGTTATTTGATAATATGAATTTACGGTAACATTTGATTTAAATATAATATACTTTCAACAAATATGATATTTCGAGAATAATGACCACCATATGACAATAATGATAGAACCAAGAGGGTTATATCCAGTGGGCAATAAACATGTTTCTAATCATCTGATTATAAGTACTATCATGGGGATGCTAATCTTAATGAAACAGTGTGTGTTATATCCTTCTGAATGACCCAAGACACAGTAATAACATGGAAGTATTATCAGGCAGTGATTATATTGAATACTTCTATGGTTATTCTTACACTACCTATAACCGAGTACGGCAGAAAGTGATTTTCCCCCGATTATAGTACTGATTTTTCATGATAAATTTTACACTATAGTTCTGTTATTTAATTTAAGTAGCTTGATCTAGGTTAAAGATCATTTATTCTGTCTGGTCAGCAGTCATTAGTAAGTGATATCCTGAGGTGGGATTGCTTTGAAGTTACATCATGACCTTCCTTGTTCTTTGTTTTGATGCTGTTGCAGCTGATTTGAGTCAAACAAAATCTGTTTTAGTCTGCTTTTAGAAAACTGGGAGTATAAATTAGATTTTTGTTCATGAAATTTTTTTCAAATATAATAATCTGAAAAATGCAAGTAGAAATTTGGACAAAATATGCATTTAAATGTCTTACGTCTTTAAAGTTGTAGAACTTCCGCGATACACTAATAATCGAGGATTATGCTGTGGCCAGTGGGGGATTATGTCATATCCATATAGGCGCGTGTTTTGTTATCACAACCAGTAAACGAGGTCATTCTGTTGCGTACTTTGGTCAAAGAAAGAGAAAGATGGAGTCCCCTAGAAATGAAAATAAGCTGAATGGAATTTCGTTTTCAAGGAAGAAGAGTCCGAAGCTTACTTATGCCGGAGAGTTCTGGTAAGATATACTTTTTAATCCATAGAAAATATGAAGAGAAAAAAATTCATTGATATTTAAAATGTGATTTCTGAATATGAATATGAAAAACCGAGGTTTGCCCAAGTTCATTTAGAATACAAAAATGTTTGTCATATTTTTATGTTATGGTATATGTTAATGAATAAGAAATGGAGGTATACAGTTAATTCGGGATTGTTTTGTCTTGAGTAGCCAAACATTCCCATTTTTTTTTTAACATTTCTTTATTCATCTATGTGATCACTTCGGATTTTGAGATGTTGCAGAATTCTAAGTTACACACATATCATAATACTCATCAAGTTGTCAATACTGGCAAATATTATTCGATTGAAATTTTCATAGTTCTATTGACGAGATTTACTTTTAGTAGAGACCAAGTGTCGAGTTAAAAAAGTGAGTATCGAGTTGTCAAAAGTGAGTATCGAGTAAAACAGTGAGTATCGAGTAAAAAAAGTGAGTAATAACTCGATACTCACTTTTTGATGGGGAAATTTATTTTAACTTTATTCCTTTGGCATGATTCATTTTATCAAGGATGTATATTAGTATTTTAGTTATATATCCTTGTTATATTGACCATCAACATGAATAATGACTAACTTAGTTCTTAGGGATAGTAATATGATACTGATAGGACCACTTGAAAAGTAAACATCTCAAACAAAACAGTAGTCAGAATAGTTCGCAAGAAACACCCAATTTAATACTTGGGAACTATATTCCACGAACAAGGGGAATTAATTGTGGTCTGAAGCCTATTAGACACCAAAATGTTGGTATTTCTAATGAAACTTTACATTTATTTAGCATGATATCTTAGTAGCATAAGTGTCAAATTTTATTACTTTCTGACCGTTATTAAAACAGTTTGGAATGTTTTATATAATTGCATATGTCTGCGGAGAATGCTATTTGCAAAGTTTTAAGACCTCAGTCAATAGATATAAGAAGATTTGGTATGCGTGCCAATGAGACAACTCTCCATCCAAGTCACCATTTGTAAAAGTAAACCATTATCTAATTTAAACTAAATGAAAGTTATGGCTGCTTGATGTTATAAAGGAAATTGGGCAACATTTATATTTGTTAGGTTATTTATTTGCCTTGATCCAGTAGCCATAACTTTTATTTAGTTTAATTGTTAAAGCTTACTGCCACTTGTGTGCCAGTTTTGTGCAAACTTATATCCCTCTAGTGCTTAAATCAGTAGTGGTCAATATGATAAGTGTACAGATATAATAAGCATTATTGTGGGTAAATTAATACTGAAAAGTTTCTTTATTTCCACTGCCTATCCTTATTGGTTATGTATACATGTACTTCAAAACAACTTAAAAGTAAATTAAGACTTGACACTTTTCAATTTTAAGATATTTTGCTCTTCATATTTTTATACGTGGTTGTACGTTATAATCTCCCAGGGTCAACTCGTTTTTGGAAAACTTATTGAAAATGCACCATAAGGTACTCTCATTCACTCTGATAATGACCTATATACCCTTATTTTTGTATGCACTGTTCTAACTAATTTTTAAGCATTGTTTAAAACTGTGTATAATTTGTATTAAAACAGATGAATCACCAAAGAAAAGAAAAACTCAAAGTTCTAATAGTGGCCTGGGTGCAGTGTATTCGAATTATCAACAGTGCTCCTCAAATAAAGAAAATAAAAGAAAAAGGTGAGGTTATAAATTTGTCAAATTTCCTTTTTATAACATCAATTTATCACCGTTAACAATCAGGGGAATTACTTAAATGAGTGATATCTTAAATCACTGGTTCAGTAACATTTGAATATTATGTAACTTTAGATATATACTAATGATCCAGGGACTAATCACGTTTGCTAAAATTATCAGAAGCAACATCTGTGTTTAAAGGATGACCGGTCATGTCAGGTGATGACCTTGTACTGAATCTGGGATAATGACATGAAAATCACTTGTATAAATATATATCATAATTCTATTTTATTTCAAAGAATCATTTTAAAGAGGTTTCTTTTTTTCAATTTTACTCATAATAAGATATAATATAAACCTGTATGTTTAAAATTTTAGTAAAACTACAAAATACAAAATACAAAATTATTTTTTTATCAAGGCTTCAGACCCCAATTAAGTTGATATTTTTTTCTATTTATAAGTGATTATTTCAAAAATTCCCCTGACTGTTTAAACTTACTATTAAAAAAAAGCCCAGAAGATACAGTTTGAATATAGATATGTAAGACAAGTATCCAACAGAGACCAACTGAGGTTGATGTTAGAATCTTTATGTGTGTGTGAAGAACTTTCATATTCTTTTTAATAGGTTTCTAGTTTTTATATAACTATTTTGAAAAAAAAATCAAGCCTGTAGTTCAGTAGTTGTCGTTGGTTCACAGCTGTCATATTTGTTTTTCGTAAATTGTTTTGTTATAAATTAGGCCGTTAGTTATGTCAATTGAATAGCTTTATATTTTTGAATAGCTTTATATTTTCATGTCGGTCCTTTAATAGCCGACTATTACGGTACTATATAGCCATACAGTATGGGTTTTTCTCGTTGTTGAAGGCCGTACAGTTACCTATAATTGCCTACATCCACTTCATTTGAACTTTGGTAGATAGTTGTCATATTTGCAATCATACCACATCTCCTTATTTTTTAAACAATCATAGACACACAAAAAGTAAAGAAATGCATGTTAGGTTCTTCTTGTATATTTTATGATGGTATGATACTAAATTCCTAATCTTGATTTTCATATAATTGAGGTCTGGAACAGGCATGTCAGTAACTGCTAGTAGTCCTTTGTTAATTGCTGTATCATTGTCCTTTTGTTAAGTTTCTTCTGTTACCTATTCTAACATCGGACCTAGACTTCTTAAAAACTGAGTTTTCCTAAACTTTATCATCAAATATGTATCAAGGGTTTCCAGCATTTAAATTAGATTTAAAAATACCTTTCCAGAGCTTCTGGTAAAGCGATCCTTATCGATATACCAGTTTGTGGTAAATCATTTCAAGTAGTACAGTTAGAAATTTATTGTGATCCAACAATTAATATACACTTACATTGACTATATTTTCCCCCGGTGCAACGCGTTGCGGGGGGACATAGAAATATTGGCGTCCGTCCTTCCGTCCCATCTACTAAGCGCTGTCACGTGTACAATTCATGCCAGATTTTTATGAGACTTATTTCATAGTTTTAAATTAGCAATTTCTTGAACGAATTTAAAAAACCGTGCCTTTCAATTATTTTTAAAGAGTTATTCCCTTAGAAATATTAATTATGGTGAAAATTGCCAAATGAATGCTCTAATGTGAACAATTCTTGCCAGAGTTTTGAAAATTTATACTATAGGTAAATATTAGCAATGTTTTGGACGAGTTCGAAAATCAGTGCCAATCAATTGCCCTTGGAAATATTAATCATATGGAAAATTGCATTGTTAGCGCTCTCATTTGTTCAATTCTTGCCAGAATTTTATGAAACTTATATCAAAGGTTTATACCAGCAATATGTTTAAGATATCAAGTATGAATATTACATGTATTAGGTCAATATTCTTTAAAAATAAACGTCTTTTGAAATGGCACATGTGACCTCTTGAAAGAAGTAGGATCAAGAAGTCCTATATTTGGTCCTTATGTCAAATTTTTCAATATGCAATCAAAGACTTATATTCATTTCTTAAAAAGGCAAATTTGAAAAGACTACATATTTTTTCTCTCGAAATTTTAGTTTAAAAAAAATGAATATTTAATACATGCATTGTAGCCAGATTGCTTGTATTTATGCATTTATAGGCCTTTTTATCTGAATAATATTGGTCACATACTAAGAGTAATACAAACTTATCAAATTATATATATGGTTCAAATTCACACTATTACAAAACATATGGTTGTCCATTCATGCTGCCAATACCTTTATAAACACCCTGTTTAAATTAGTCAAAAATTGTTTATTCAAAATTAAGGTTTTTCTTCATAAGAGTGTATAACTTTGATGGATTGTGATGACACTGACCGAAAAATAGTAGTTTTTAATTTGGCATTTCCTCAATTTAAAAGGAAAATTAAGAATTTAAGTAAAATATTCTGCCAAAATATAAGTCCCTTATCTTGTACCATGTCCTTTGTCTGATGCTATTCAACAAATCCGGCTAACTGTTGAACATATAGCAATAGTTAAAATCATCAACTGTTTCTGGTATTTGATGTAATTAAACTAAACTTTAAAATTAAAAAAAATATATGCTTTTATGAAATAAGGTGTTTTTACAAGTAACGTAATTAAAAAAAAATGAAGCAACATGTACCGTTACTCTGAATAGAAATGCATTTACAAAGAATGGTATTATCCTCACTATCTAAATCATCTTTTTTTTCGGAAATAGATCATTAGAATAATTTGTTTTCTTTTTTAGATTTTACTTTCTATGAGTACCCACAGCATCTTCAAGCAGAACAATGGATATTGATCAGACCAGACAGTCTGGAGAATTTACCATGGATAGAAGTAACAAAAGTGACAGCAACACATTCGATTGGTTTAATGGATATTTTGGACAGGAGTAGCAGACTGGTACATTGATTCCAAAATCTTGAACAAACAACAACTGTACACATTCTTGTCGCTTTTAAGTGGGATAATGTTAATCTTTACAAAATGCCAGCACAATTGAAATTAATATGGGATAGTTGAAAGAAGAAATTTCAAAATGATACATATCACAATGTTGAATTTAGACAATCTCTATTTTTGTGAAACAGTTTTTTTTTAACTTTAAATACTGTGATGATCTACAAAACATTATTAAAAGATGAACATGTAAGTCTCAAGTGCGATCCAGTTTTTAACCGCTTTTCGCTTGAAAAAAAATCAAGCTTTTTTAAATTTATGAAGTGACAACAATTGTTTTTACTGGATTTACATTGAATAAATAATATTATCCAGACATTAAATAAAAATGTTGAAATTGATTTCACTTCATTTTATTTTCATTTTTTCGCAATGTTTTTATCAATTTTTTTAAACCTTTCTAAGTGAGAAAGTCAGACTTCTTGATGCTTCTAGTTGTTACACACTACATTTAAAACATTGTCACATTTCATATGGTATATTCTGGCTTTCATTGTATTTTGTGTTTTTTGTATTTTGGTGAAATTGCAAATTGTGTTCTTACCAATGAAACTTAACAGTTAATTGTGCTTGATTTTTTTTTCTTAAACAATGAAAAACCCTTTTAATTAAAAATTAATATGTAATAAGGTGAAGTTCATCCAAAGGTTGCTTTTATTCATTTTAATAAAATTATAAATAATTAAAAAAAAATTTGGAAAGTTTGGAACTATTTGATTTGATTACCATTGAGACAGCTTTCCACGAAAGTTCAAATGATGTAACCGTAGGCATACGACCTTCAACGACATGAGAAAAATCCATACTGTATGGTCATCTATAAAAGACCCCGACATTAAACACCAATTCAACTGAGAAGAATAACGGTCTAATTTATTACAATTTACGAAAAAAAATATGACAGACATGAACCAACAACAACCACTGAACAACGGGCTCCTGACTTGGGACAGTCACATAACGGAGGTGGCAGGGTGAAACATGTTTGTGATCGCTCAACCCTCTCCTAGCTGGGACAGTGTGTGTAACAGCACACCATAAGAATAAGCATTTATTTAGTACAGTATCATTTTAAAACAACAGCTTTCAAAAATTCACTTAATTTTGATGGCAAGTATTAGTAACCAATCAATATATACAGAGATATGAATCACCTGTGTGCAATTTTGATAGATATATATTATGCAAATGTTGAAATTTAAATTACAATACTTAAATGACTACTTACCCATTTTTCATCAGTATTCTGATATATTAAAGTATAGAAATTGACCCTATGTAAAAGTTTCAAAGTCAACGAATCATGACTGGGGGAGGGAAAATAATCATTATGGAGATGAGATGTGCAAAATCTAGTACAACTGCACATCTAATGTAATAACCGTTAATGTTCAGCCTTAAACTGACCAAATCACAAACATAAACCTGTAAACTAACTATATGCATTTTCGAAATCAATAGACAGTGATTGGGGAGGGATAATCGCCATGGAAATAATTTCCAGTGTCTTTTTATAAATGGTTACTAGTGACATCCCTAAATTATTCCCCTTCTGACTGAACTAAACAGCAATACACATTGCTATGAGTTGATGCTCTAGTGAATATAAATGTGTAAACCTAATTTTGTGACTGAATTCAGTCATTATATTTTTTTTACTGCTGCAGAATTGGTCTTTTCAACAAATATTTCCTGAATTTGTATTGACTGAATTCAGTCATCTGTATTATAGATGTGTATACTATGTAATCACACTTGGTGTAATTTAAGTCTTAGAAAACACTCTAATTTAGTACAATTTCTTGTAGCTTCTATCAAATGCTGTGTGACTGAATTCAGTCAACATTTTGTGAAAATAATGAACAGGATAAAGAGTTAATTTCATTTAGCTGTTATCCTGTTATATGTTGCTTGTATTAATCTATAATCCGAATTCTGTTTCATCTGAATTAACAGTAATAGGTTTTAGTTAAGAAGCAACAAGTACAAATGTATTTGATAGATATTTTACGAATAAAATGGTAATGTTACTTTCTATTGTACTTATTGAATTATGTGATATAAAGATGCAATCAGGTGACTGAATTCAGTCACTCAAAAAATTATCACCGTACAATGCTATTTTATTTTTTGTAAGTTGATCATATTAATGGGGTCATTAATATGAATATATTCTGTGTTGACGTTTTCATCCATTTTAAATAAAATGCGCATTGCATACAATGTTGAATGTTAAATTGTATTCTATAATTATGAATAATATATCTACTCAGTTCAACCCTTGAATTTTGACAAATCAGAAAATTGACAAGTTGAACCAGACGGTGTTTTTTGTGTGTGTGTTTTTTTTTGTGAAGTACATGTATTGATTTTGCGTCATGGATGGATACCCGTAGTAAATATCCTGTGTTTTTCTATTAATACATGTACTTGATAGAGAGAGAGAAAAATATGAAAATTGAATTTTATGTGGAAATTACCTGACCAAGCTGACCAAGCGGACGACTTTTCCATGATCAATGCGTTGACCAATGGAAAGCGCACAAAACTGTCTAATTCCTCTAAGAATTTGTAACATATCAAGATTTAATCACATTTTGAATAAATATCATTTTCATTTCAAAATATAGAACTCGGATTTCGTTATACTACAAAATCATGAAAAAATAGTTTGCTCATTGGAATTTCGTATGGATTTATTAATCATTTTTTTGTTCATACATCACATCACAAGGCAGTCGGTTTAGATGGCATCCCAGTATTTTGGCTCCATTATTTCAAAAACTTTTAAATCAAGTATTTTCTACAGGAATATATAAAAAAAAATGGTCATCAGCATATATGTTTTCAATTTTTAAAGCGTGAGGGTCCATCTAAACCGGAAAACTACAGAGGTATTGCAATTGATATGTGTATAGGAAAACTGTTCAATTCAATACTAACCAAAAGGCTAGATAAGTATTTAAAAACAAATAATATAATAAATCCATGTCAGATTGGTTTTTCAAGTAAAAGTAGGACATCGGATCACATGTTTGTATTAAAAACTATAAATGGATAAGTACACAAGTATGAAAGGTGTGACACTGTATGCTTTCTTTGTTGATTTCAAAAAAAGCGTTAGCCAGAGTAATTCTTTCTGGTTTAAAGTATTAGTTATGTTATTAAACATAATATAGGTGGTAATTTCCATGCAATCCTGAGAGATATGTACAATAAAAGTGAATTATGTGTTAAAATAGACAATGTGCTTATTCCTAATTTTTGTTCCCAAATTGGAGTAAAGCAAGGGGATATTTTGAATCCCAACCTTTTCAAGATTTTTATAAATGAATTACCGGATGCATTTAATGAAACCCCAGATGTTGTTGATATAAATGGCCGCTGAATTGACTGCCTCATGTATGCAGATGATCTTGTTATTTTTTGTCTAGTTCAAAGGCAGGTCTTCAAAAACGACTTGATGGTTTATCCAAATTTTGTACTGTAAAATGGTGTGTAGAGGTCAATCTATCTAAAACCAAAGTTATTATTTTTTACAAAACTGGAAAACTTTTAAAAGAATATTTTTATTTCGAAAAAGATATAATAGAATGTCTTAAGCCACAGTCCCACTAGACCACGATCGCACCACGCTCACCGCGATCTAAAATAATTTCAGATCGTGGCGAGCTCGCAGTATGAGCGGCATGAAAATGAAAATTTTCGTTTCAATCACGTTGCTACTACGTCCTCATTACGCTTCTACAACGATCCCGCTACGATTATACCACCTTCTCATCACGCTTATTCTGCGACCTCACTACGATTATCACGATCTTTCTACGCTCATCACGTCCTCACTACGACAATACCACGATTTATCCGATTACAACACGATCTTACCACGCTTCTACTGCGATTATAGCACGCTCTTACCACGACCATACTACGATCATACCACGTTCATATCGCGATCTTACTACGCTCTCAGCAATAACGTCAACATCGTGTTCCATATAAATACTGTATCATTCCTTTTATTTCTCGTTGATACGTAGAGTTTCTCGGAAACAACGCAGTCATGCAACCAAAATCTACGTAAGGGTAAGGGTTGAGGTAGAGGCAGAAGGAGATCTGATAGTAACGAATCCTGATCCAGTAGAGATGTCGGACCGACCAATCCAACCTGAATCACAACTTATTGCTGGTCCATCAAGATCAAATGACGATGCTTTAGTGAACGATAGTAGGGATGGCAGAGATGTGTCACGAATGATTGAGCCGTTGGAGATAAGGGCAAGAGGTCCAAATAACATACAGACAAACAAAAGCTGGAGAGCTTTTATAAATTTTATATTACAATGAGCATGATGATCGTAGTATGAATGTAGTCGGGTCGTAAGAACAGCGTGATAAGGACGGCATGGGCGTGCTAAAATCGTACTATGGTCTCGAACAGCGTAGTATAAGCGTGGTATAAACGTGGTATAGTCGTAGTGGAAGCGTGTTTGGGTCTCAGTAAGAAAGTGATGGTCGCAGTGAAGTCGTAGTAAAGTCGCTGTGAGATCGTAGCGCAGTCTCCCCGACTAGAATCACGCTTTCGCTTCGCTGTCGCTACGATGGTACAGAGACCTTTGCGATCACCACGACCTAACTGCGCTCTCACTACGCTTCTACTACGACCTACGATCGTCAAAATTTTCAATTTTTTTCACAGATCGTAGTGCGATCGTGGCCTAGTGGGACTGCGGTATTAACAATTATAAGTATCTTGGTTTAAAATTTATATCTAGTGGACTTTTTAAGCAAGGAAAGGAAGAATTATACAAAAAATCACTAAAAGCTGTATTCAAATTGCGAACTTCATCATCTTTCAATCCAAGTATTTCACTCTATTACATATATATGACCATACAATAAAACCCATTTTAATGTATGGCAGTGAAATTTCAGGAATGCTCAAAACTAGCTCTGCAGCATGCCAGAAAGAAAGTAAATATTTATTACAGCACCTTTTTATGAACGATTTTTTAGATGAATCCAATTTAAAATATATGAAGTATATTTTTGGTTAAACAAAAAGTCTTCTAACTTTCTAGCTGTGCTAGGAGAGCTTGGTAGATTCCCTTTATATTTTTCAGTTGTATAATCAATTATGAAATATCGGTTTAGAATAAAAAAACATGAAAGATGGTTTACTATATGATACCTATATGCATGTGTAACAAAATCATGTTCACTAATAATATTGAATGCTTGTATTCATCCATACATTAAATTTATGAAAAGCTGAATATTCATAATTTGGAAGAAAAGCTTTACTTTTTTATCAAGTCAGTTAGGCAAAAGCTTTGTTATAGTTTGATAAAATTTTGGAACACAAAAAGAATAGATACAAAGAGTAGTAAATTAGATACTTATTTCAAATTAAAAACTTGTTTTTCTAAAGAAATGTATCTACATGCATCTTTAAACAATATTTAAATAAAGTTTCATATGTAAAATCAGAATCAGTGCGCATGATCTGAAAATAGAAAGAGACAGATATAAAACTTTATATATAGAAAGAGACCATTTTAAAGGCTTTATAAGAAATGTACTCTAAATCTAGTTGAAAATGAACAACATTTCATTACAAGTTGTCCAGCACTGGATGATGTACAAAGATGATCTGTAGGGAGATATTTTTCAAGGAGATATTTTACAGTATTTGTACTAATTTTTCATATCTCTCAAATGAGACAAAATTTGTTTGGTTATTTACTAATGAAAATTTGTCTGTACTTCAATATTTAGGGAACTATATTATTACATGTCTAGATGTTAGACAATGTAATAACAATGATAATTGTAATGATTTTATAGTTCAGGTCCTGTCTTGTCTGAATTAAATGTATTATACTTATTTAGAATAATATTTCGTTTCAACGTATAAAATAAATGTTTTTTTCTGTTACAAAACATGATGTATTGTTTTATGTGTACATGTAATGCTTCCCATCAAGAGCCCTTGATTGGAATAATAAATATTCGTATTCTATATATATATGTACTGGTGATCAATTTATTTGGCAATCGCCAATGGCAGTCAGCAGGGTTTAAGAACATCCGTTGTTCGACCTGTTAGTCAAATGCGTTTTGTTAATATATACTTTTTCACTATTTTGGTCTTTTGGAAAATGTTGTTTGTGCTGTATTTAGACCCCTCTACCTAGAAATTTGTTTTACATGCACACGTATAAAAATTGCGGTTTTTATCCAACGCAATCATAGGTTCATACTGAACTATTAGTTCGGTCAAGAAAGACAACTCGTACTAAAAAAAAGGGAGGTAACTCAATTTTTTTATAAAGGGAAACGAGTTTATCAGTATTTCCTCAACCAACATGTTGATTTTTGCACGCCAACTTGTGTACATAAATAATTAAATATCGGATCACAACAGGTTTTGAATGTTTGATGATCGATATCCACGCCTAATTCCAATAGTATAATAATTTGTAATCTTAATAAAAAACCGAGTTTAGAATCAAATTAGAATTATTACGGTTTATATATAATAATTTCAATTAGTTTTTATTATACGAGATGCGTATCTATTGTAAAACATTCTTTCTTTATCTTTGAACATTTTTCTAAACATGCAAACTCTGTTAAGAAAAAAAGAAGTATTTGATTTTATAAAAAACTGAAAACAAAACAAAAAAAAACACAGAAAAGAAAAAAAAGAAATCTGCCTACCTAAAATATTGAATTTTGCCATGTCTGGTTGAATGACTATATATATTATGATTCTTATACAGACAATGCATTACATCGGTACAGAGAAAAATTATAAACTCATATTAACTCAATTTAACTATTAACGAACTTAGTGAAATGTTTGCTTCTTTTTTCATCTTTGAACTGCAAGATGGCGAAATGCATCTAAGAAATCTAACAAATTTTGCAAGTTTAAAATTGAGAACGATTTAAAACAAAATTGATTTCACTTCTTCAATACATGTGGTATACATAACTTTTGCCACTAATAATAAATAAAAAGTATTATGT